TGGAATGTACCCGACGCATTGCAAAGGCCAAAGGGCATCACTACAAACTCATACAGACCGTATCTGGTCTGAAAAGCAGTCTTGTGCTGATCCTCAGGTCTTATTGCAATGTGATGGTAGCCGGACTTTAAGTCTATCTTGCTATAGTACTTACATCCCTGCACCCTATTCAATAGGTCGTCTATGCGAGGTAGAGGCTCTGCGTTCTTCACTGTGATGGCATTGAGGCCTCTATAATCAATGCACATCCTCAATGTACCCCCCTTCTTCGGTACAAATAGCACTGGAGATCCGAAGGGGGAAGTACTCGGCCGAATCCATCCCTTTTCTGTCAGCTCTTTCAGTTGTCGCCGAAGTTCGTCCAACTCGGCCGGAGCCATCCTATAGATCCTTCCCTTTGGCGTTTTACTTCCTGGAATGATTTCTATGGCGTGGACAACCTCCCTTTCTACGACTCCTGTAGGCTCTGTGAACAGATCAGGGAACTTAGCAACGACGTGTTCTATCTCTGGGGGTGTTTTAACGGCCTCCCCTTTCTCAGAGACATACACTAGGTACATACCCTCCTCTTGGTTCTGTTTGTAATAATTGTAGAACGCTGATGCGCCCAAGCAGCCATAGGATTTTAGTAAGCTACTGGTCTTATACTTAGCCAGTCTCACAGTTCTTCCATCCTGCAACTTATGCTTTAGCACCTTCTTGTCCCAGTCAAACTGGGGCTTGGCAACCTCAAGGTAGTACATTCCTAACAACATATCAAACGGTAAATCGTCGCTAACCAGGAACGAAATCTTATGATTAAGTTCCCCTCCTCCATAGGAGAAGGTACAGACTACATCCTTGATATAGTCTGTGACAACCATGCGCTCCTTATTGGCCAAAGTAGATGCTACCGGTCTACTAAGGTGTTGTACCCGGTCCTTTAGGTGCATTCTTTCCAAGCAGTCACGACTTATGTAATTCCGCGTGGAGCCGATGTCTACGAAGGCACCACATTTGCGGCCCCCTACAGCAACTTCCACGACGAAATGTTCCCCTCTAGGACCTCTACTTAGTGCCACCCAAGATTCGCGAGGATCCTTGCTTGACCACTCACTTTCCAAATCTTCTAAGCCTTAGACACATCCAACGTACAGAGCATAGTTTGGTCTGGATGAGTCTGCAGGGTGACTAAAGAGTCATTAGCTATGGCCTTCTCATGAAGTGGGGAGGGTATCTGGCCCACTTCACCATGACTAGAAGCAGCTAAAAATTCCACTGGCCTCACATGTTTCCTGAGCTAGAAGTCTGGGAAGAAGGTACCCCTCCCTTAGGGGGTATCTTCCGCGTGACCTTTGCGTTCTTGCATTTGTACTGGGTGTGTCCGTATTCACCACAGTTAATGCAAGCTCCACGCACTCGGCGGTCCCGCCACACTTCCTGATCAAGACCTGCCTTGACCCAATCAGCAACTTTGGCTTGAATGGAGGCGGCCTGCCCTTGACTCTTTTGATGGCCCTTTCCTCGGCCACCTGCCTTAGTCTTCACTACTGCGGCGAGGGTGCTACCCTCAACGGTTTCCTCGCCGTCGTACTCTGGATTGTCCATCAGGTCAGAAAGTTCATCGATCTCGGTTTGGGTCCTATCAGACTCAACCATCATCAATCAACTCCCCTTCTTCTTCCACTCCTGTGGACTCTTCTTCTTCCTCCCGTCTACTGGAGTAGGTTGAGCACTTCCTAGAGTAGCCTCTAAATCTAAGGCCTTTCTAGAGAAGGTCTCAAACGAATGATACTCGAGGTGAGCCTCGCTGGCCAGCAAATTTATGAGATTCTTGGGTAGACATCTCAGAAACATGGTCAATAAGACCTGTTCATCGTAGCGTATACCGGGAACGACGATGAGGCTCTCTACGGTAGAAGTTAGCTCTCTGGCTGACTTATGCTTTCTTTGGTCTAGTCTTAGCATCGCGTCTGTGGCTATTTGTGCCTGCTGCGGATTGTGCCAGCGAGCTTCTACTATATCTAAGAACTCTTCTAAAGTCAGGGTCTTACCCCAATCTGCCATGCGTCGTCCGAACCCGGTTGTGGGTACTCCGCGTGGGGTGAACAGACTGAATTGCGAGCCCGCCATTTGACTTGTGGACTGACTAGAACCTACTGACCCGGAAGTACCCATGGGCCCAGAAGGCATTCCCAACTGAGTCCCAGATGAGGATGC